AGGAGGAGGAGGAGGAGGAGGAGGAGGAGGAGAACCGGAGGACCCGACCCGCGAGCTGCTGGAGTACTCGAGCGCCAGCGTCGAGGACGAAGGGAGCGCGGCCGGGGCCATGCTCGCCTCCGCGCACATGTCGCAGACCCCAGAGAAGAGGGTAAGTACGGCCTCCTCGGAGTCCTGCCGAGCCGGAGCGCCCGAAGTCGTGGAGCTCTTCCCGGCAGTTGCTCCGTCGTCAGACTCGGCTGTGGCGGTGCCGTCGTCTCCGGAGCTGACGCTGTACGGGAACCCGAAGGATGCTGCCACCACCGGGCAAGAGGGGTCGCCGGCAGGTGTGGGAGTCGGCTGCGGGTTGTTGTTGTTGTTGTTGTTGTTGTGGTATTGTTGCTGCTGCTGCTGCTGCTGCTGCTGCTGCTGCTGCTGCTATTGTTGTTGTTGTTGTGGTATTGTCGTTGTTGTTGTTGCTGCTGCTGCTGCTGCTTCTGCTGTTGTCGTGTGTTTCGGTGTCTCCTTGTATGTCACCGAGCGCCCTGGCTATCTCGTTCGCTTGGGCGCGAATCGACGGCATGACAGCCCTGAACACGCCCGACCCGACGCGTGCTTGGCGGACGCGCAACAGATGCCGCGGTTTCGAAAGGACACGCCGTCCTGGTGAGGGGCGGTGGGGGCGACGCAGCCTGCAGTAAGGGCGACCACCACCAAGACCACCACGACCACGGACCGGCTGATGCTGGGGCGTACGTGACGCTTGCGGTGGACTTCTTGCACAACCTGATCGATGGGATCGGGTGCGTTGAAAACCTTTCCAGGCTTGTCCGCATCTACTTGTGCTGTTGACTTTCCGGTGAATAAATCCGATCGGCGTTGCCTTGACCCGCGTTCCAGTTGTTCTGCTATTTTCTCCTGCGCCTGCAGCAGAGGTCAATTTCTCCACGTCGACTGTCCGTCCGCGCTATCCTCTCTCCGTTCCCTTCAGTGACCCCCGCCGTAGTTTCTCCCTGTTGCGTGCCACGTCGAACTCCCACCACTGCATCGCGCATCCTTTCTCCATTCTCGTCCGTTTCTTCCCTTGCCCGTCGTTTTTTTGCCGTTTTTTTGCTTGCTTTGGGTAGGATTGGTGCGGCGTACGCAGTGGGGGGCGACGCGGTGGGGCACGCAACAGCTGCCCTGAAGCTGGTGCACGAGGTGCAGCACGAGATCGGCGACGTAGCGACGCTTGTCCAGTGCGGCATGAGGTACACAAAGATGAAAAAAAGAAAGAAGAAGCTAAATGCAGCCCAGTTCCGTATTTATTCGATTTCGAACACATTGAAGAGACGGACGGATCAGGTGCACAAAGTCTTCCGAAACCAGTGAATTTCGTCCGTTTTTGGTTCGCTCCCAGACTCTTATTACGAGCTGGTGAAGCCAGACGAATTTAGTAGTTGCACGAGATTGGAATCCCACGTTTTCCCCATTCAATCAGCGCAACATTCGCGGCCGTGGGCGAGAAAATACAGGAATAGAGACCACTACCGCTCGGCAGTTTCATCAGTTACGTGCCTTGCCGCGAGCGTGGGATTTGGATGAGTGTTTGTTAAAGCTTCCAAAGCCGACCACTCACCCCACCTCCTGCCTATCTGTAAAGTGATCCGTGGTCAATCGCCGAACGATCTTGAGGTAGCCAACAGACGAATTTTGCTCCCCCCCCACCTTCCTTTCCCCGCGCGGTGTTTGCCATCGGGGTTGGGTTTTCGTCGCTAGGCAACGACGTTGTGAAACAAGCCGATCACTTCGTGAGCTCGGCAACCGGGATACCGCTATTTTTTTTGCCTATTTTGTATTTTGGCGGTAACCATTATCTCAGTCGAGTAGATTCTATTGTGCGCGATCGAGAATCCTCACTCCGTGTAAAGGAGATGATCGCAATACGTATTGTTAAAATGGTCAAGCATCCTCGAGGCAGTTACACAGTGCTCAGAACTATCTTTGGAAAGTCAAAACACCAGAAAACCAAACTCGGTCATTTCACAGCTGTCATTCGTATGCAAGGAAGTAAGCACAAGATGCCAAACACCCTTAGGAAGATGCAGCGCACCCTTCATGCGACTCGCCCAATACCTCAAGGCGCTTCGCGCGTGGTAATGAGAGAGCCTGGTCCGGTGACAACCCGGCGTGCTCCGTCTCGGCCTTGTAGGGATGCGAGGTCAATGGTCTATCGACTACGGCATGTACGACAATGAGTATGAGTACACCCCACCTTCCTTTGGTCAAACACCTGCGGC